TAAATATATAGTGCATGTGTGTGAATTTATATATAAATAATAAATATACACAGTGCACACACATATCATATGTAAACATACACTTTTATTTTGAATCGATTAATCGTGACGAATCGTTCCGCAGCTCTAGTTCAAACACATTCCCACAGAACCTTTAACTTGTTGTCTTAAGCCCCATCAGCGTCCGTCTCGCTCCAGCTGAGTCCTGAGCTCCTCCAGCTGCGTCTGCAGGTGTGTGACGTCGCTGCGCAGCTGCAGGTGACCCGACTGAGCTTCCTTCAGCTGACTGCGCAGACGCTTCAGGATGGCCTCACATCTGCGCTCCTGAATCTGAGGAAGAGTCGTCAAGATCAGGTTTGAAGAAGGAGAATCTAAGACTGGGATAGTTCACCCAAAATGATCATTCCGTCATCATTCACATATCTGTATGAGTTTGTTTCTTCCGTTGAATTAAATGTTTGATAGTTCTGGTCCTTGATTCTGATTGGCTGAGCCGCGTTCGAAGCTGTTGTAAATGACTCTACAAAGTAACATACACCTTTGTTTACGTTTGTGTGTTGCTCGGCAACCAAAACCACGGCTTCACGGGGCTTATTGCTTTAGTTACTCATATTTTTCTTCTTTTGTGATACTTACACCGGTTTGGAATGTGTAAATGATGACAAAATGTTCATTCTTGTGTGAACTATCCATTTATCCATTCTTTTCAAGGGCTAGTAAAGAAAATGTAAGGAATAAATTGAATGGAACGCAGTGCGTCAATATGGTCTCTAAATGTAAATGTCTTGTCTAAAAGCTATACACTTGGAAAATGATGAGCTATATCACCGCTTATCGACTCTAGGGGTGTGACAACACACTTAGCTCACGAGATGAGACAAAATACAGATACTTGGTTCACTAGAACGAGACAATATTTCAATACTATATTCAAGAAATTTTCAATGACAAAATATTTGTCTTATAATTACAAAAAGTAAAACAATGCAGTTGTATTTTGAAATATTTTAACTAATCTACGGCTGTAACTAATTATTATTTTGGTAATCAAGTCATCTATTTTGAGTAATCTGATATTTTTTTAGTAACAAACAGACCCAAGTGAAAACCAGGCTTTAGTATGACTATTTATATATAAACTAACGATGAGGCAATAATAATTGGCTCAAATAAAATATCAAAACCAAGTAATTACATGGTTTTATTGAACAACACTGTTAAAATACATAATGTAATATTCCTATACATAATATGAACATAACCTTAACTTAAGTACATTATGTATTATAACAAATACCTGCAGAGGGCGCCACAGGCCTGGTGACGGTTCACTTTACAGCGTGATTAAACCATGTTTAAATCCATTAAATTTTAATATTTGGCCACATGCAAACTCCGAAACTTTTATTTTGAAATCGCGCTGTACAATAAATGGCATATTTAGACATAGGTTGATGTATTCTCCTGTGTTGGCATATGTTTATAAATGATTTACGTTACAAATCTAGTGAGATAATGCACACTGTTTTCCCAGATGAACGTATATACAGACATACAGTCCCCTTTCACACATACAGTCTTTACTGGTAAGTTACCGGTAAAGAGATCATGTCTGAACAGGACCTTTTCAAAAATCATGGTAAATTTGTTCTGGCGATCATATCGTTTTATGGAGATGACGTGATTACTCTGAGCTGTTTGCAAAGCTCTGCTGCTTTTTAATTAGTTATTCTATGTAAATATGCGCTAGATGGACATCTTTGACCATTGCGCCTCGCAGCTTTTTGTCGCGCTTCTCCATTCATCAGCTGCAGCTCCGCAATTGGATACTATTTTGTGCGTCTCGTGTTTATAAGAGCAAAACATTCTGATTGGCTAGTAATGTTAGTTTGGTTGAGAGTGAAAGCTGTGCTCCTCTCATACTCATGGACTCGAAAGGGATATCATGTCCATGTCCATCATGAGACCATGTCTATAGAAATAACCGTGACTTTAGATTCGCTGGGTTTACCTCGATCTCTCTCCTCAGCTGCGTCTGCGTTTGCCGTTCGTTCTCCAGACGAGCTTTTCTCTCCATCACAGTCTGTCTGGCTGCAAGAATGTTCTCCTTGAGAAGCTCGAGTTCCTTCTGTAAGGATCAGAACACACACATGAGTGTCTCGTAGGGTCAGAGGTGACGAGTCTGTCGGCGGTGAGAGCGAGACCTGCGTCTGACGGACTGGTTTCTGGAGGTCGGTCTGGAGCTCCTCCAGAGCGAGTCTGAGTCCAGACGCCTCCTGCTGCTTGTGCTGGAGCTCCTGATGGTGGTGCGCGCGGCTCTCCTGCAGACACACGGCTGTCCTGTAGTCGCTCACGCGGCTGCGGTGCGAGCTGAACTCCGTCTGCTGGGAGCGGCGGCGCTCCTGCTGCTCCTCCGTCCAGCTCCGGAGCTCCAGGTTCTCCAGCAGGAGGCTGTGGATCTGTGCGTCCAGACGGAGGACGCTGCGCTGGAGCTGCTCCGTATCGCAGAGCAGAGCAGAGAGCATCTTCTCCTGCAGCTTCACCTGAGAACCAGCAGACTCGCAGCTCTGCTCCAGCTGCAGAAGAGACGCCTGCGGGCACACAAACACCTCAGCATGCACTGCTCAATCAGATTCCTAAAATCAGGCTTTGGCAAGTCACAATCTTCAGAGAAAAGTCAAATGACTTTAAAAGTCAAAGTTATGACATAAAAAGTCGTAATTGTGACTTTAGACATCTAACATGACAGAAAAGTCAAAATTATGACATACTATGTAGTATATATACTATGGCATAAATTATGTTATGGCATAAAAAGTCATAACTATGAGATAAAAGTTAAAATTGGGACTTTAAAAGTCATAACTATGACAGAAAAGTCTAAATTATGACATTATGTGATGATTATGGCATAAAAAGTCATAACTATGACGGAAAAGTCTAAATTATGAGTTATTATGTGATGATTATGGAATAAAAAGTCATAACTATGACAGAAAAGTCTAAATTATGACATTATGTGATGATTATGGCATATATGGCATAAAAAGTCGTAACTATGACAGAAAAGTCAAAATTATGAGTTATTATGTGATGATTATGGCATAAAAAGTCATAACTATGAGATCAAAGTTAAAATTAGGACTTTGAAAGTCTAAATTATGACAGAAAAGTCAGAGTTATGACATAAAAAGTAGTAATTGTGACTTTAGACATCTAACATGACAAAGTCGAAATGATGACATACTATGTGATGATTATGGCATAATAGTGTGTGTGCATGATCATGGGTCATGTTTTGTGCTAAGGGTTAATGAGGCTAAACGTGATGCGTGCGCGCGCACCTGCAGCGTGTCGAGCTCGCGCCGCGCGTCCCCGAGCTGTCGCGCGCGCGCCGCGCCCTGCTGCAGAAGCTCCTGAAGCGCGTCACTGAGAGGAAAATCCCGCTTTCTGAGCAACAAACAGCTCTGTGAGCTCATTACAGCTGCTGAGGAGCCTGGTTTCTCAAACTAGCGGCAAGAAACGCTGCCGAGAAGCCACAAAACGAGCTTAACTATTAGTTAGCAAACATTAAAGACAATTTCGCCGTTTACTCTCTGATCACGTAGGAATTTACTCATTATTTCTTAAGAAGTACAGCTGAAGACTTTACCTGAGATCGTCCATGATTCGGCGGGAAACACGAATGACGGAGCCGCAGGGTTGCCAGGTTTCACATCAAAACCTGCTCAATTGCGTTTCGAGGGTCCCCTGTTAAAAATCGCGTTCCGAGGGGTAAAACACACGTTTTTTGGCGGGGTTCCCCTGACGAAATGTGCATTGCAGGGGATAAATATCACGTTATTGGGGTCGCTTCAACCCGCAGACATTAAAAAACAACCCGCGGCAATAGGGTTAAAGTAGCCCGAATCCGCGGGAAAACAGTGGACTTGGCAACACTAAACGGAGGAGCGCGTGCGCGTCGATATAGTGTTCGTTATTTTAGTATCATTGAAATACTGTTATAGTTTTTATATATATATATTTTTATTGATTAAGTGGTTATTTTATAAATTTTCTCATTTCATTCAATTTAGTTTAAGTTTTTGTAATTTTGTTGTGTTTTGGGCCTTTTTATTAGATAATTTTTTTCATACGTCTAGTTTTTATTCATCTTCTTTTCGGTTTTAGTTATTTTAGTAGATCATATTAAATTTAATTAAACATTTTGCCTTGGAAAATGGAATGTTTATTTTAAATGATTACGTTTTTTTAAATGGTTTAGTTAACCCTGGTGTGTGTGTGTGTGTGTGTGTGAGTGAGTGAGTGAGTGAGTGAGT